CCCCGCCACTACAGATCCGCAGACACACAGCCAAGATCCCTGACTCTTAACACCAACTCTCTTCTCCGGGGAGGGGAGGGGACGGAGGGAAGGGGGGAGGGGGAAACACGCCGAGCGCACGGAATTGCAAGTTCAGCAAAGAAATGGGTGGGGGGGCGCGGCGGGGAGACGCGGCCCGCTGCGGGTCGGGCAGGCTGGGATGCACCCCCCCCTAGAAAAAAAAAATCTCAACACCTCCCCCGCCTCGCAGAACATTACAAACGAAAATTCATCGAGCACCTCATTTTTCCTCAGATCGTCAGTTACAATCTGAAGCCTCTACAGTTCAGTGTTTGCCCGTTTTATCCATCGGAGGCACTTTGAAATTTATTCGAGTTTACATCCCCTCACTTCTTTCTCTTACTCTCGTTCCCTCTCACTCACACATCAACACACGGCAAAGCAAGTTTATACTAGGCTGCAAATACACGTGATGCAAAAAGACTTTGCCAAGAGGAACAATATTTTTCTTTTCCGTATATAAACCAAGCCACATTTTGCTGGGGAGATTCTCGTTTCGGTAGTTTAGCGTGGGGGGCGAACCCTGAATTGCATACTTTCTTTCCCCTCCCTTTTAAGTCACAGAATAGTATAACTGCAAACTTCGCAAAAAAAAAAAAAAAAAAAGGCAATTCTGGGGGGTGGATGTTGTTTTGTTTTTACACTTGAGTTCCTAGGCACGCTAAGTCCCCGTTCGCCAGCACTATTAAGTTTTTAATTCAACATTTACCATTATAGGCCCTGCATGCTCTTAAAACATACTTTTTCACATCACTTTTTAGGATAAAAATTAAGCTTCATAATTCTATAGTTTCGTAATAACAAGCGTGCTTTATCCAGTAAATGCAACATACGCTATTTTAACGTGTGTTAAAAAAACATTCTACAAACCCTGGTATTGCTACATGTGCGAGTACATACACAAAATGCATGCACACACTTTTTCCCCTTGGCAATTATTTAATAGGTTGCTCCTTTTGTTTTAATAAAACATTGGGATCGACATTTTAAAAATTAAATTCAATTACAAACAGTTTACTCTGACAGCAAATTGTAACGTTACCTTAAATGGCCACAAATATGCTCACAATATTCCAAGGAAAGAGACTTTTTAAAAAAGACAGAAAAATCTTCTGCAAGTACTTAGTATCTCATATGTGTATCCCCCAAAAAAGTATTTTAACTGGTACTCAGTCCTGCTGCAGGGATATCCACAGAGTACAAGATTATGCACCTGGCTCTGGTTTTTGCATTTTCCACCATAGAACTGCAACAAAATTCCCTCCCCCAAAAAAGAAACCATTAAAAAAAAAATCCAACAACTTTTTCTTACTGTATATAAAAAAAAAAAATCAACACAGAATAGTTATAATTTTTCCTCAAACAAATCTTGTTTTTTTTTTTTCTTCTCCTCTTATAAAGTCTTAAACTTGTTCCAAGTTTAGAGGTGTCCCATCATCATCCTCCTCCTCCTCATCATCATCACCATTGACTCCCCCGTGGAGTCACATTGATAATAATAGGTTTCCCTGAAAGATACATTGTAATCCATTCACATCCGGGCACTGCGGGCTTATAAAGAGAAGGCGCTGCGGCCGCGGCTGCTCCTCCAGACAATGACTGAGGAGGGGCGGGGCGGGAGCGAGCGACCATAGAGTGGTAAACACAGCGCCTAGAGAGGCGGCCAAGATGGCGGCGCGCGCCGGCCACGCCTCCTCCGGGAGCTGAGGCGGGTGGTGCGGTGCGAGCGGGCGTCGCGCGTGGCGCGGCACTGCAAGGGTCCTCAAGGCTGGGGTCGTTCGCAGGCCCGGTTATCCTGCGAGCTTTCTCAGGTCCTCTTTCGTTGGCTGTCCCTGCTCTTTGATACAAAAATGTAGTTTCCGAACACATTCACGGATTAAACCTCACTGGCTTCCGCAGAGGAGTCAGCTCCTCCTGTTCAACCTGAGGGAAGCTCGGGAGAGGCCGCGCCGGCCTCACCCACAGCAAGCCCGAGCCCGGGCTGTCCCGTAGGGTGGGGCCGGTTCTCTCAGCGAGGATTGGGCAGTGTCAGCAAAGGCCGCTGAGCCAAGCCGTTGCTCCCGGCCGGGAAGAAGGATGTGGTTCTTCTCCACCTCCCTCACCTCCCCCTCCGTCCCCACCCATCTTTTTTATAGGCCCCTGGAAGTGTGAGAACTAAGTCCAGAAAGTCTTCACTTTGAGAGGACCTTCATATATTGCTTTGTAATATATGAACTCAAACCGCGTTCGTACCATAAGCCACGACTGACTCAACTTCCCGTTCTGGACAAGCCGTCACCTTCTCTAGCCTGTTTTCTGGTCTGTGAAAGGCGTGTTAACGGTGCCCACTTGGAGAATTTTGTACGAGGTGATGGTAAAGACCAAGCCACAGCTAAAGAAATACTCTTTGCATCTCTAATTCCGCGCCAAACCAGTTAATACCTCTAACCTAGCCAACGAGATTTTAAGTGGAGATTTCCCCATTCTGAAAGAAAAGTTTTTAGTCCTGACAGAGGAGAGGGCGTAATAACGATGCTAGGTAACACAGAGAGTGTGTTTAATATGTGCCAAATACCGTCCAAGAATCTCATACATACTGGCCTTTTTAAGTCTGAGAATGAGCCGAAGGAGTCAGTTACTAACCTTACCTACAGGGAGGCGGAAGTACGACCTCATCTCCATTTTCTGACACAACTTTGTGGCAGACATAGAGTTCAAATGAATTTCTAAGGTCTTTTGTTTATATGCAAGTTTTTAGAAAAACGGAATTAGGGCATTTATGGGCTGTTTTCTATTCATTTACACATTGTGAATATTCCTCTCTTCAATCCCCATTCCATGTTCTCATCTTAAAATAATATTTTACATTTAGACACTACCTTGCTGTGTTATCACAAGCATTCTCTCCAATTCTTAGAGTGAGCCTCCACAGGCTCTACTGAGATGATGTAACAAGATCACAAACGTTGGTTTAGGAGCAATGTCTTTTGCCATAAAATGCAGAGGTTAGATTAGATAATCCCATAAAATCTCTTCTAACTTTTAGGTTTTTAAGATTTCCCCTTCTCCTGAATTTCAAGGGCAGTTAATGATCTATCCAGAAATCAGTGATAGGGTCAGGTTTGGGATCGAAAGGCACCCAATTTCTTTTTTTTTTTTTTTTAAAGATGACCGGTAAGGGGATCTTATCCTTTGACTTGGTGTTGTCAGCACCACGCTCAGCCAGTGAGCGAACCGGCCATCCCTATGTGGGATCCGAACCCGGGGCCTTGGTGTTATCAGCACCGCACTCTCCCGAGTGAGCCACGGGCCGGCCCAGAAGGCACCCAATTTCTACTCCAGTACTTTTTTTTTTTTTCTTTGAGCCTACGGTCAGAAAACCCTTTAACCACCCTTCCTTTATTTTATTTTATTTTTATTTTTACCCTTAGTATTTTAAATTAAGGGACAAATGTGGGTGTTGTTTTTTTTTTTTTTTTTCTGAACTGTCATACAGTTATACTTTGGAAGACTGGAGGCAGCTTAGAAAAGGAGACTCAAGAGGAAACTTAGATAAAAAAGGAAATGTAGTAGATATGATTTGTGGTACTTGCTCCATCTACATACATCTTTGCCTAGGAACTTGTCCATAAATCCTGATTAGAGGGATGTCTTAGTCAGCTAGGGCTGCTATAACAAAATACCGTGGACTGGATGACTTAAACAGCAGACATTTAATTTTCACAGTTCTAGAGGGTGGGAAGTCTGAGATCAGGCATCGGCATGGTTGCGCTCTGGTGAGGTGTCTCTTCCTGGCTTGCAGATGGCAGTCCTCTCACTGTATTCTCACATGGGAAAGAGAAAGAGATCTCTGGTCTCTCTTCCTGTTCCTAAAGGAATACTAATCCCATTATGGGTGCCCCACCCTTGTGGCCTCATCTAAACCTAACTACCTCCCAAAGGTCCCACATCCTAATAGCATCACATTGGGAATCAGGGTTTCAACATACAAATTTTGGGGGGAAACACAAACATACAGTCCATAACAAGGTAGAACTTGATGTGGGTGTCACGTGACTCCTTCCCACCCCAGCAGCACCAGCACCAGCGGATCGGACCATGGGAGCAAAAAGAGGAAGAGGTTGACAGTAGTCTATGGTGAGTGATGGATTGGATGTGTCTTGGAGTCATCTGGCCAGAGCTAGTGCCAAGAAGCCAAGCCATGTGAGAGCCATGATTATAGGGAAACAAGAACCATGAGTAAGCAGAGGAAACTGTTCTTCAGATAACAGAGAAAGGTTTTGAGAGTGCCAAGAAAAGCAGACAAACAAGTCCTAGGACAAAATGCCTAGAGACATTTTCTCTATTACTATGAGGACCACATTGCCTCCTGTCCATGAGACAGCTAATTCTTGCAATGTTCCCCTTCCGCAACTGAGCTAACCTGAGTACTCTTCTGAACCTTACAATTAAAGAGTTTAACTAGAAAAAAATTGGCTTTAAATTTCAGCATTGTCAAAACTGTCATTAACATTCAAAAGAAAATAAAGTAGTGACTATTGTTCTAGTTGAGATCCTATCTAATTCATTGTGTCCCTATAAAGTCAGGGTGGTATATACAAGTGTCATTCATTCCCATTTCTATCGCTTTGTGCCCTTGGGCAAGGTTCACATCTTGTCAGATGTAAAAAAAAAAATTAAAATTAAATAAAATACCTGTCTTAAATACCTTACATGACTGATCAAAATCAAATGAGGTAGTATAAAGTGCTTTGAAAATGACAAATTCCTATCAAATGTAAGGTATCATTACTGCATGAACTGAGTTGATACCTAAAGATAGCACTTCTTTCGCAGGCGTGTATGAAAGGAGTGGCAAATATTGCTACCCCATGAATTCAAAGAAAAGAACAGATGTTGAAGGGCTCCAGGACCAGAGCTTTTGACATGCTCAAAGCTCAAGTGGGATGGCTTGTCCAAGGTCACGTCCCTAATAAGTCGACAGAACCAGTAATAGCCCTCCAGTAACTGAGTGTCAATCCAGAATGCTGTACTATTCTCCTTCAAATTCTATCCAGTTTGTTCTCCCCCAATCCTGCCTATGATATAAGAAACAAGCAAACAAAACCACAAACAACCAAACAAGAAATATCAGCTGTCTGATGCTCTAAAAAAAGTCATCCCCAAATTCAGCAAATAGTTTTTCAGCAATTACCTTGTATCAGCAGCTAGTATCTCAGGATCTGAGGCAAAAATGCAGGCAAAAAAAATCAGAATGGTATAAATGTCAAGGGCAGTCTTGATTGAATGGCTAAGTCACAGTGAGCAAGATACAGACTGTGAAAGATGTGTGGAAAACGGAGGACTTTCCAGCATGTTTTCAGATTTGTTATATCAGATGGGCATGACTGTCCAGGACCTTAATTTGGAGCCCCATTCATATAGCAAGGCTGAGTCAGAAAGGTAGCTGGCAGGATAGAAGGGGGTGGAGATGAGGGGGAGGGGCTCCAGCCAGTTTGTGTGAAAGAAGTCCAGGGCTTTATGATCCACATACAATTCTACAAAACCCAGGGCCTTTGCATTCCTGATTCTTTCCATGGCTGTTCACAAGGCTGGTTCCATGTCATCCTTTGGTATTGGCTTAAATATCACCTCCTAGAGGCCTTCCTCACGGTTTTGTCTAAAGTAAGCACCCCATTTCATTACTCTCTGCCACACCGTCAGCTTTCCATCCTCAGTGGCACCTTTCCTAATGGGATCCTTTTGTTAATGCATTTCTTTTTATACCACCTTACCCCTCCCCCGTTAGACTGTACACTCCACGATGCACAAACTGTACAAATCTTGCTCACCCTTACTTTGCCACACCTACCACAATGCCTGGCACATAGTACATATTCAATAACTTAAATAAATGAATGAAGAACCTGTCTTTTATCTTGAAGATGAACACTGTGTGCTGAAGAGTGCAACTTCTATACCTTTTCAAATTATTTTCTCTTAAGGTTTCATTTCAGTTTGTATTCATGTTGCTGGTGAATATTCAGTATGATTTGCAACACGCCACTGTCCCCCTGTCTCTTAATCCTAGACCCTAAAGATAGAACCAAGATAACTGCCTTAATTTACCAAACCATGAGGACAGCCTGTTCATTAATATGAATACAATACAAGATGCTGTCATTGTATTGCTTCACTATCATAACATTTTAACATTTTATGGAGGAGAAGACTGAGGCTTGGAGATACAGCAGATTGCCCAAGGTCACAGAGTCACACATGGCAGAGTTGAGATTTAAACACAGATAGACCATGCTTCTGCTTACAGCTCAGTGACATGAGCCATGGCCCTAGGTCATGGCCAACTGCAGGGACGATCTGCATTTGGCTGATCTTTAACTTTAAATTTGCAGCACACACAAGGGAGGACAAGACCATCAGGTTAAGACAAAATACTCAACCCAACAACTTCATTTCTTCTCTGGAACTTTATTCCTGCCCTAGTCTCCCAATCTGCAAGTCCTTCAAAAAATGACAAAGCCCTTAAAATAGAACACTCAGACTGTAACAGAGAAAACAGTTTTATGATTAGGAGGGTCT